AAAAAAAAAAAAAAAAAAAAAAAAAAAAAAAAAAAAATTGACAAAGTCTCTTAGATCTGTAGTTCTCTCTTTTAAGACAGAGTATCACTCTGTCACCCAGGCTGGAGCGCAGTGACTATTCCTAAGTGTGATTATCGTGCTCTGCAGTCTCAAACTCCTGGCCTCAAGCAATCCTCCTGCCTCAGCCTCCTGCATGGCTGGAACTGTAGGCATGCACCACCGTATCCAGCGCATGTTTCATTTTCTAAATCCTGACTTTTAAAAAATTATTTACCAAAAGCCCAAACCTCATCATAATCCTGATTTTTTCTCCTTTTTCCTTAGTATGTTTGCCAGTGTTTGTCTAGTTTATTAGTCTTTGCATAGACCATCTATTACATTGTTTGTTCTGAATTTCTCGTTAAGATGTGTAACTTTTACCCCTTGCGTAATCAGCAGATACCTGACATTCTCTATTTCTTCTTCTAGAAATGTGATACCTCAAAGCACAAAGTGCTGGTAGTGTCTGTGTGTCCTCAGTCTTTGCCTTATTTTGCTGCTAAATTCAACCTCAGTGTAACTGAGGCATCCAGAAGACTCTGTGGTTTCCTCAAAAGTCTTGGTGAGTCATCTTTTCATAAATTGGAAGTTTATAACTTGAGTTAATAAGCACCATTTTTAATCTCTAAAGTTCAGTTTTCAAGGGCACAGGGTAAATAAGCAGCTTCCACAAGAGTCTCTCTGAAGGTAAAAAGACCTTGTCTCGTGTGTCAAGCCCAGCCTCTGATTGACGGTAGGCGAGTGTCACTTTTCTCCTCTGCTGTGCAGATGGTGTTTTGTTACACAGTGGGAGCTGACCCCTGTGGGAGTCAAAAGTGACCACTTTCTGACAGCACAAACAGGGACACTGGGAGATCCCACAGTGCCCCAGCAAGCTCCAAGTCACCCCTTACCCCAGGAGGGGGTGTATTTGATAAACAGTCACTTCTGAAATGATTAATGTCTGGTTTCCCAAGAAGCTCTCTGAAGAGCAGAGCAGAAAGGGAATGGGCTTGTGTTCCTTCCTTGAGGAATGAAAGGTAGAAATTTAAGAATACAATCAAAGAACTCAGACATAGACACTGGAATAATAATGCCTGAAATGTTGATGGATCATGCTTCTGTGTCTTCTGCTTTGGTCAAACTGGAATTTCTTCCCTCTATTTGCTCTTTAGTGGGGCTCTTACAGCCTTGAGCATCCTCACAGCAGGATGGTCAATGTGCAAGTTCAGAAAAGGAAAACTTGAGTGATATTTTACAGCTGCTTTTAAAAATTGTAAATACTGGTCAGGTGTGGTGGATTATGCCTGTATTCCCAGCACTTTGGAAGGCCAAGGGCAGAAGATTGCCTGAAGCCAGGAGCTGGAGACCAGCCTGGACAACATAGCTCAATCTCATCCCTGCTAAATGAGTACATAGATGTAAATATATTGGAGATTACTCTTGAAATAAAATGGTATTTGGTATAAGGGTCGTCAGGACAAGCTTGAAGTCCAAGTAGCAGCCTGGGGTTCCCAATATTCCTTGTGCCCTAGGTGCCTGGGCTCTCTCAGGGCCTGGTCATCTAGCACATAATGGGCTGCAGCTGAAAGCCAGCTACAGCGACAGGTGCACACGCTTTAGGTCGCTCCTTCATGCTTGTAATCATAAAGCCCAGGTTATGTTAGTTTTACTAAAGATCAAAGTTGTCACTTGCTATATTTTCTCATGGTGAAAGCACTTATTTGGGGATAGATTGTTAAAATTATGTAATGGAATATTATATACCAATAAAATGTATCCACAGTAAAGTTGATTTCTTAAGGTAATATTTTAAAATTTGTAATTTTTTAGGCCGGGCGCGGTGGCTCAAGCCTGTAATCCCAGCACTTTGGGAGGCCAAGGCGGGTGGATCACGAGGTTAAGAGATCGAGACCA